TTCCAAGGACGCTCATGACCATGAGCACGGTGATATACCTCTTTTTTACTCTCTGAGAGGTTGTACACTTTCACTGTGAGTCGTGATTTACCCTTTCGCCCGAGGTGATCAGCTCCTTGACCCACTATCAAGGAAGGTCGGCAGGGTTCACTATGAAGCCTTTCAAAGGTTCGTCTAACAAGTTAGGGCCGTTAAGGTTTCCCCATCAATAAGCATGAACCCCCTCCAAGGAGTGACTAACAAAATACAAATAAACCAAAGTGCACCCTCTTGGCAGGCCGAGATCATACAAATTGGAGCCCCTCTTGCGCCATAAAGGTAACCACTAACAAGCTAGAAAAGGTCCTCATGCTAAGCTAAAGCCAGAGCCATGTAGCCCTCACAGCTGTACTGTAAGTTCTGGATGATCATTTATAGATAAGTCCTTAGGGAGAGGAATCTAGAGCACCATAAAACAACCCAATGCTCTAGCCCCCTTGTTCCATGTTGCTAAAAAACATCTTTTAGTGTTTATTGCATATTCCATTAGTCAAGTTACAAGATCATGGTTATTCATCTTGAGCACTAGCATAATACTACCCAATGCATAATCACCCATGGTGTCAAGGTACAAGATATCAAATATCTAAGATATCCTTATTGGCAATAAGGTTGACACATGCAATATGAATTCAGTGATTAAAGGTGAATAGGTAACAAGGATGGTCCCAAGCTATACTTGCCTTAAACATAGATCCTTCTATTGAATTGTAACCTCCAAAGGACTTCTTCTAGATCACCAACCTCTTTTATATCACCAACGCAAAGCTCACCGACCGGACATGATCATAAAGCACTACATAAGCATCCATGCAATCATACACGAAGCAAACAATAGATCTAAATTAGAACAGTACACCAATCAGCATAAAATCAAGATGAAAAGTTTGTAAAACGAATCTACGTCCTGCTATGAACACACAGACGCGAAGAGCACGCTAAATGGAGCTACGGTTGAAAAGATACAACTACAGAAAGATTTACTTATAAAAGAAAATATAAAAATATAAGCTTCATTTATTTTAACTATATAAAATCATACATATAAGATATTTTATAAATAATATAAATTAAATTAAGTCAAATTTAGATTTGAATTATAAAACTAAAGTCAAACAAATCATATTTTATTTATAAAACCAGTTGCATAATTATGAATCAATATATGATTTAAACCATGAAATTTAAGAAATAGTAATATGGTAAACACTGTTACTAACGCGTAGATCTCGTCGCTACGAATCTAGAGCAACTTGAACAGGTCAAATCAGAGTTAAAACGTAGAAGATATGAATTTAACAAGATTTTCTTTAGTAAAATAATAGATTAAATCTAACCACGAATTTTAAAAGTTGAAAATATATCTAACAGTAGTATGAACATATAGATTATGAAATTACGAACCTATTGCAATTTGAACGGGTCAAATCGGAGTTAAAACGGAGATTTTATGGCCTATGGAAGATAGTGGCAAAACTGTAAATAAGTGAAAACGTATTTTGGATCTAAACCGAAGAAATTACGCTTTCCAAAAAAGAAAACATAATCTATGATTACGCTTTGGACCGCGGGTTTGAAAACAGAAAACTGGAGGGGCTCTTTAGCAAGATGGCCTGCGAAGGGGTATGGATGAATATCGGTCGTCGGATCTAACTTGGACGGCTCGAATTAGATCAGAGGGGGAATAGAGGTGGCTAGCCGCCGGAACAGGGGCAACATGGCGGCGCGCCATGGCCAGCGATGGAACTCGGTGGCGAAGCTCGAAAATGGCATTAGAGGCCATGGTTTTCGACGGAGAAGACACGGGGCCGGATATAGCTCGGAGACGGCTTGCGGCTTCGGAAGGCGGACGGCGGACGACGGCACAAGCTTGCTAGGGCAAGAGCGGTGGCTACGACACTTTTAGGGTTGGGGTAAAGAGGCGGCAGGGTGCGAGCTCAGCTTATATGAGGCGACTTGGCGTGACACGCACGGCAAGGACGCGGGACGGGAGCAGCACGAACTCCAGGCGGCGACGGCGGAGTCCAAGCAGTTAACGAGCTGGTGGAGGGGATGGAGCTGACAGGGCGGCCCCACCTGTCGGTACAAGAGAGAGGGAGGGGATGTGCGGCGCGGCAGCTTCGAGCTGGGCCGGCCCACGAGCAGAGAGGTGGCGGGTGACGCTAGGCCGCGGGGATGGCCGACGTCAAGGCGAGGAAAGGGGGGAGAAAAGCAGGCCTGTGCGTGGGCTGCTGAGGAGAGGGAAGCTGGGCCGCAGAAGAGGAAGAGAAGTGAAAGTGGGCTGCGGCCAAACTCGGCCCCCGCGGGGAAAAAGAAAAAGATGACCTCGGGCCAGAGAGAGGGAGGAGAGTTTTCTTCTTTTCTTTTTCCAAATCATTTTTCTTTTCTTAATTCAAAACAAAGTCAAATATGAACCGAATCAAGTATAAATATGATTTAAAATACACTTTTCAATTCAATTCAAAATGAACAATTTTGGTAGGCTTTCAAAAATAAATTTTACAACTTTTTAAATTCTTTTATTTTCTAATTCTCTTTTCTTTCTTTCAAAGCCATTTTTAATTTCATTTGCAAAAGCAATTTCAACCATTTTAAATTTTTAATCAAAACCACTCAACCAAATAAATCAAATGCAAGGGCATGTGTGCTCAAACACATTGCTACCTTATGATGAATTTTAATTTCATGAAAATTTTTATTTCCCTATGTTTTCATGAGCACATAAATTCAAAATTACCTCATTTTACATCTACTTCAAAAGGAGCAAATTTTAGGGTGTTACATGTTGCTGACATGCCTATTACTTGTGCTGCCATTCTTGCTGCTGCTTGTTACGCCCACGACACCACGATGCTGCCATTGAATGTTGCCGCTGCCGACTAGATCTGCCGCCACCCTTGGTGCCCCCGAGCTCACTGTCATGGATGAGAGCCAGCTGGCATGGACTAGGGCGTTGCACTAGTGTGGTGGGATGATAGCCGTGGGGCACCACCATAACTATTTGTCGCACCCATGCCGCCACCAAGGTGTCATGCGGTCCATGCCCAAGGGGCCGCTGCAAGGGACAAGGGCCGGGGGCCGCCCCCTTGGGCCACAACCGCGCCCATGAGGGACCGCTGCTAGGGGGCCACACCATGGGCTTTTATATTTTTTGGCTAGTCTCTTGGATGGCACACATTCAAATAGCACCCTCCCAAAATTTCTTACAAATTTACCACCGGATACAGAAGAAATCTTACAAGTTCACCAAAAATGGGCTTTTTTGCGTGTGGTGTGCTCGGTCACGATGCCAGCGTGGAGGCGGCTTGAAAAAAGATGAAGCCGCCCCTACCCTCAGCAACACTAACCGGCATGGTCCTTGCCTCTCTCTCGTGCCCAATCCATTTGGTGGAGCTTGGAGGCCTCCTTCACATCGTTGTCCCATGCCCCCAGTCGCCAGCCGCCATCATCGACGTCTTCCTCCATCGCTGAACTTGTGTCCCAAGCCAGATGCAAGGTACGCCAATGCGCTCTCATCTCACAAACTCATTTCCCATGTGGGTTTGCCCGTGGATCTTGCCTAGGGTTTGTATTTGATTCGTACTTTCGTAGAATGTCTGGTTGCAGGGAATCTCTTGTGGTTCAGTGTAGCACATCAGGTGCTTCTAGGGGGTGGACCCCTTTGCAATGGAGGTGCCGCTGGTCCGACTACCACTAGGGAAGGCTACAGGGTTCCCTCTAGTCAAGGGCCCATGGTGCAACAGTGCAAGGGTGATTGAGCTTGTGGCCAAGACAGATTTGAACTTTGGTCAAATTTTCTTCAAATGCCCATTCAATATAGAATATGTAAGCTCAAGGACTATTCTTCAAATTTTCCAGGCTCTGAATTGACTCCACAGGAGCAAGAAAAGAGTCAACGCCAGCTGCCAGCATATGGACTATTCTCTTTTTCTTTCATCAAAGATGATAAATAGTTCAAGGACTGGGTTGGTCAAACCGCAACATCAGGGGCCAAATTAGGCATCCCTCCCACCAAACTTCCGTGATTAATTTGGCTATCCCACTTTGCTTTTTTAGCAAATGAAACCATGTCCAAAGCTTCTTTTCTCTAATTTGGAAACTGGTGGTTTCATTTTCGCTACTGTAATCTATAATACATTATCACGTTTCAGAAGTTTGGAGCTACTATTTCTATTTCTAACCAAAGCATTACAATCATGAATGCAATAACCAAATCTGACTGCAAGCATTCAGATTTCAGACAAACATCGCCCAAAGAAAGTAAGAAAGTAACAGAGTTCCAAACTCCTAAACACTACTACAGAATGTTACTGTAGGGGCGGCTCCAGAGCCTCTGTAGGGGCGGCTGCGCCAGCCGCCCTTCCCAGGGTGTTCCTACAGAGGGTACCTCTATAGGGGCGGTTTCTTGACCGCCCCTGCAATGCCCTCTGTAGGGACGACTGGTGTTTTCAGCCGCCCCTACAGTGCCCTCTGTAGGGGCGGCTGGTGTTTTCAGCCGACCCTACAATGGACTTCTGTAAGGGCGGCTGTATCACCAGCCGCCCCTGCTGTGTGTATTTGTAAGGGCGGTTCAATCAAGAACCGCCCCTACAGTGGATTTTCCAGCAAAAAAATAATTCAAATTTAAATCTGACCACATATATATATATATATATATATAATTCAAATTTGAATCTAACCGCCACAAATATACATATATACATCCACAAACACAAGACCATTATTTAGAACATCATCACAAGTCATAATTCACAAAAGTATCAACTACAGCGCTAGTCGTATGTCACAGTTTCACAAGTGTGACGTGCATATACAAATTACACGCATCAATTGGTTGATCAATGCAATCATACAATGGCAGTGTTGAGGAACTCTTTCCAACAAAATAGATGAAAACTTTCTGACATATTAAATGAAAGATCCAATAAACACTTCAGACACCGATTAGCACAATGGTTTACCACATAAATTTTTAGATCCAGACTCCTGTGAGGAAACAAGTTCAGAACTTCAAAATACTAAAGTACAATCAAGTACATAAGCCAACATAGCAGATAACTTTGTCTCGGGTACAAATCACAAGCCAGAGAGTCCACCGGGCATGTTAAGTAGATCCATTAGAAGCATTGCCGTAGGGTTCCATATCTTCTCCTCGAACCAACACTTGAGCTCACAGCAAGTCACAAGCACAGGCAAACGATACAGATAGAGTCAAGGGATAAAAGGCTTTACCTGCCGGATACACAATGCCACGGGTTCCTTTTACCTGACGCGTCTAGGGGAAGGTGAACTGCTGCTTCGGCTGTCACTAGAGATGCTTCTTCCTCTAGGAGGCCTGCAAGCAAGAGATATTTTCAGTTATGGAATACTCTTGGCATATGCAAAAACACCAGAAAAAACTATCATTACAAAACAAATACATATGTTACCTTCTAGGGCTGCGGCTCCTTGATACCCTTCTTGGACCCTATATAAGAAACACATTAAAGCACTTAGTCAATATTACCATGCATGCATGACCAGTAACAGAGGGGGGAAAACAGCATTACTTTGTGTTTGATACTACAAATACCATATCAGTTGTAGCACTCACCTTCTTGGCGGTGGAGTAGGTGATCGAGAATATGATGAGTCTGACCTACCACACCTCAATGGAGGCCCTCGTCCCCTGCGTTATACAAGAGAATCAGAATTGTCAGGGTGCAAAAGAGGAACAGCATCAACTGGTAGATTTCGGCAGATCCACTACCTTCTTGGAGAAATTGATCTGGAGTGAGAGCGAAGGGGTCGGCGAGGAGGAGAGCGACGTGGAGGTGGTGGCCTTCTTGGTGGGCTCCTCAACCGCCTTGGAGGTGGCGAGCTAGAGGGGGGAAAAGAAGGAATGAGCACAGCAGTTAAGCAAGCATAATAAGGCAGAGGACTAAAAAAGTCAACAAAACTTTAATAAGAACCCAAGACATGAAAAATAAAAGGGGCAAAACAAGTATCCAAATACTAGAAGTGTAATGAGTACAAATCTTAGAAACCAATCACAGGATCATGCGTAGAACAGCAATTAATTATAAACATGGGATACATATATCTAATCCACTTGTATTATCTAAAAAAGGTACATCTAATCCACAGCTATGAAATATAAAATAGAGAATACTTGATACATTTAGCAGGGATAGGCACGTGTAGTCCACAGCTATGGAATATAAAATCATCATGAGCTGAACAATTAAATCATCATGAGCTGAACACGCACCTTCAGGGGGGGACTTCTTTGATACGAGCAGAAGTAACAAGCAAAGAAAAAGGAATAGTGATTATATAGTTTCAAAGCTTCAGAAGCTTACATTCCCTAGGACGCTGCTGGGCATCCTTTTCAGCACTGCTAACACCGTTTTCAATCTGGGAAGCGTCTCTTTTTGGAGGAGGGGGCGGAGCTTTCATAGGTGATGCAGCCCTTTGGCGTGGTTGAAGAGTGAATCTCAACTTAACAACATTTCCATCAATTTGACCCTGGACAGATTTTTTGAAGAACTTGTTGGTCATTTACTTTTCAACAAAAAAAGACAGAATAAGCATAGGGTAGAATGCATACACCATCCATGTAAAGAAGAGCCTTCTCAACATCATCTCTCTTCTTGAACTCAGTATATCCATAGCCACGAGGAAGGTTAACCTAAAAATACAAATAGTAGGTGTTAAGGAGAGCACAAGGCACAGATCCTAGAATAAGAGAATAAGAGAGCAACACATTCACTTACCATTCGGTCCATTGATAACTCCACATTCACAACTTCGCCAAAGTTTCCTGAAAATACAGATAATTACTCGAATATAGTGTTTGGATTCATTTGGCAACATGATGACTTTTCAAAAGCACTTGTTTATTTTTAATTTGTATGTAAGAGTTTGTTAAATGCACATTATGTCTGGAACAACAGTAAAATCCTACTAGAATCAGCAAGCCAGTTGGCCGATTACTATAGAAAGAGGATCATCCCCACTGCATGAGGCTACCAGTGGGAAGATCAGTGTGTTTAACCAACCTAACATGTGTACATCATGCAACACATGATTGTTGGAGTTAGATACAAAAATATATAATGGCTGCAACCATAATGTAGACTGTAGAAATTTGAATACTAAAAATGCATATTATCAGCATTTTCCCTAAATGCTAAGAGGCTACTTGGTATGCTGTCTACCCTTGAGTGAAATTACAATCAAACACAAACTACAAGTTCCAACAAAAAGCAAATGGAAACAGCCACAGTGATATCACAAGACATCTAATGAATCTACTGGAGCCAATAGAACACCAGGCCCAAGTGTACAAGTAAATGGGCACAGAATTGTTACAAAGGCACATAAAGTAGCTGGACCAATTGTTTCACCTAATCAAGATGATTACAATCATTTTAAAGAGATTTTATTATCCTGTACAAATCAAGAGATGGACAAAAGAAGGGGAAGAGAGCGCTACCACTACAATATTTGCAGCATAAAAAAGTTTTGGTTAGTTCATTTACAAAGTACAATCAAACAGATCAGGCCAATTCTATATAGTATAAGGGTTCGACCATCTATGACAAACAACTCTCATTTTTTCCCAGAAAAGAATGTCCATCTACAGAGTGAATGAACATGACTAGTCATCGGCAAGCATTGTATTATTTAGAAGAAAACCAAAAGGAAACGAGAACATCCCCATATACACCAAGGTCGTTCTCGTCCCAACCTATCAACCAACCAAGCGCTAATCCACCAAAGCTAAAAAAACCATCCAAACTGCCTTATTTCCCTCAGGGTAGGAAATCTAACCCTAATACCACGCCGCAGATACAAAACAATCTAGGTCGAAGACAGACATTCACATGAGCAAGAGGGATATGAACAGGCGGCTCACTATGGAGGTGATGTACTCCTCGAACGACTCCCGATACTTGTCGTAAAGCTGCTGCGAGTAGTCGTGTGGCGGCTTCTGCGTGCACATGTTGTATATCGTCCTGCGACAAGGGAACCAAAACCCTAGATCAGAACCGGATCGAAGCGGATCGAGTTGGGAAACCCTAGTCGCGCATCGCCGTGAAGGCGGCGGCGGAGGAGGAGGAGGACGAGGAGGGAGGAGAGGAGACGACGTGTAAAGCATCATGTAGTCCTCGTGAGCTGAACTGCGGCTCTGGCTTGCCCTCGAGGATGTTCTTGACTTGGTGATGCCCTTCGCGCATGACCGCCCATCCCTCCTCCAGATCGATTTTCCTACGCTCTGCCCGCTTCGCCATCGCCTTGAAGTGAGGTTCTTGATCTGCCGACGCGTGGAGAAGCAAACCTTAGTGCCGCCGCTGGGGGTTTGGTGGTGCGCCTGGGGAGGATGGCGAGCGCGAGAGGCGGAACGGGGGGAGGAGGAGAGAGGCGAGCGCATGGGCGTAAGGAGAGGGCTAGGATCACTACAAAAAATCTGGGCTTGTATGACAAACACCATTTGTCATGTTAAGTCAAAAAATTGTCATATAAAGCAGCTTATGACGAAAATCACGTGTCACGCTGGTCGTCATATAACGACCGTCACATAATGTACCGCGTGACGATTTCATAAGCAACCGTCACAAATTGTTCCCTTTTATGAAGGTAGAAACCGTCACATAATAGTTGGTCAACGCGTCACATTTTGCAACTGTCGTCACAAATTGCGGGTTGGGAGTCAGGTTTGGATGACTTTTTGTGACGTCCCTCTCATGTCATGTTATGTTTATGTAGATTATATGACACTGATGTTTCGTCTTGTTTGGTTTGGTTGTAGGCCATGTTTTGAGACAACTATATGGCGTCACAATTAGCCATGGCATTCATGATGATGCTGGCATTCATATTCAGTGACGACATACAAATCTTTCATCACATGGAACCAAAGCAGAATACACACAGATATATATATATATCAGCCCAGCCATCATCGCCAGGTTTGACATCAGAAGGCAGTAATCATACACAATTCACAGAAGTGCATACACATATATTCCACTGGTTCCAAACATAGTAGCAACCACATAGTTCCATCACAGATCCACCACATAGTTCCACCACAACTAAACCACAGAAGTTCCACCATACAAGCATAAAGCACCAAGTACTGACAAAGTTCCAACCACAGATCAAGTTGTAGCAAGGTAGCAATAACTTAGACAAAAGCCCCATCCACAGAAACAGCTTCAAACCTACCTTAATCTTTCTGAAGTTTCAGGATAGCTCACAGCAGTGCATTAGTCTCTTCAAACTTGGTATGCATCCCCTTCACTTCCTCTTGGGTCTGGCGCAGCAAACTCTAGTTTTCTTGAAGTGCGGCCTGCTGAGCTTGAAGCTGTTCTTGTAATTCTTCATGCTTCCTAGCAGCTTCATCTCTTTCAGCTTGCAGTCTTGCCTCAAACTTAGCTTGCATGCGTGCTTGTGCTACTGTCGATGAGGCACGGCCAGTCTTCGACAGTCGAGGGACACCAGTGTTGGGAAGAAAGGTGGATGAACGGCTAATCTGGCTGAGACTGTTAGCAACAATCTTGGAGGGCAACTTTTGTGCTTCTCCTTCTTCTGGCTCTCTTTCCTTCTCTGCCACCATTTGTGCCTACAAAAATTGAATGTAGTAAATAAGAAGTCCATAGAACAGTGTTCAACCAGGCATGTAATTGAGTACAGTAGATGTATCCTATCATTTTGTAACTTACATATATTTCATTGGCAAGAGGAGTTCGACCACTTTGGGGACTATTCATGCATTCACCAAAGAAATCAACAGCATCAGGTTCCATGTCGTTGTACTTAGCCCTCTACAACATTTAAAAAACTTGGATTACAATGAAGCTAAAGAGAGGGTGAACTCTGAAATCTTAACTATGAGGTGCCACTGAAATTATTTGTGTGACCATGAAATCTGAACTAGGAACACTTAGCAGCAAGATTGGTTTTACTAAAATCTGAACTAGGAACTAGGAACACATGCCAATAGCTAGATGCCAATTATTGTGCTAGAAATCACTAGACATAAGATTGGTTTTTGTATATTCTAAGAAATCAAACAGCATGTGATAACTTGACACAAACCAAGCACATGGTAAGTACTCTGTTAAAATTGACCCATCTTTCTTGCTAATTATACAGAAAACACAATGCCAGCTTTGTAGCGAACTTTCAAGCAAACATGTACATACAGTTTGCATTGCACAATAACGAAAAGGTTCAAGCCATTCATCAGGCAATCAGGTTTGCCTCCAAAACCTTTCACATTTCAGTGGAAGAAGCAATAGTATGCTTACCAGGCTGTACCAATGGGCAATATAGGACCTAGATCCAGTACTTTGGTGTAGCTACACTTGGCCTCGGTTGACTTTATTCTTAGCACATCTCTCCTACACCACAAATGCAATACGAAGTTTACATTGACACGCACAATTTGCATTCCATATTAACAAAAGCAGCTGATGCTGGTCATGGACCTGATTCTTTGGGTCACACCAATACTCCACTACTTTGATCCATTCCTCTTTCTTCATCTTTGGTGGAGGTTCTTTGGCCAACAACTGTTCTCTTGACAGTGACTCATCGAAGTACTTCCTTTTTAGGTGATACCTCATCTGCCTTACTCCCCTCTTAATGATATCAGTGCATGCATCAAGGCTTGGTCCCTCATTCTTAACGTCCACATCCAACCTAGACTGTAGGCACACAAATGATTTAGTAGACACAATTTTCACATGGGATTAGACTAATGCAGGGAAGTACTTGGAGTGAATTAGATATCTCACCACCACTTTCTGAAGCACTTTTTTGACTTCTTGTTGCCCCTCCTCATCGTTATAATCCTTCCATGATGGGAAGATAGGCAAGTTGTCTCTAAGGAGCACACCAGTTTCTGATGCCAGCTTTGCTGCCTGAAGTGGTACATCATGTCTTTTTCTTCCCTTCAACCACTTGGATAGCCAGCTTCTTTCCTCTATTTAGCATCTTCTCTAATCCATGACCCATGGTTTTCTTGCGAACTTCCTTTCAGCGCACTGCATTGGCAAATAATAAGCAACATGTGTTGCTATAGCAGTAACAAAGGATCATACTGAATGGAGAAAATAATGTTTGGTAACACGTATTGTTTACCTGGAACCAAGTCACCAACTCGTTCTCCTTCATCTGTATGACCCTCTGAAGTAGCAGCCCCAAATTGTTCAACTAACTCATTGAGGTCATTGCTTTGCCTAGAACTCTGTGCACCTAGCGAGGTTTCCAGCACTTGGTTTACACTAGTTGTGGGAGTAGGTTCACGAGACAAGGTACTGGGGGTTTGGACTAGGCGTGAGACCTTGCTGCAGTTTGCCTAGGAGGACTAGGCCTTTGTGTTTGGAAGAGGTGAAGACATGTTTGCACCAGCCCGTGAACATGGTTTGCATCATTGGGAGTAGGTTGATGAGACAAGGTAGCGGTGGAGACACTAGGATGATACATAAGGTTTGCACCAGCCATAGGCTTGGCTGCAGATTTGCCTAGTGAACTTACGAGGACTAGGCCTTTGTGTTTGGAAGAGGTGAAGACATGGCTGGACCGGTCCTAGTGATTATTGGATGAGTAGGCTTTGTGCTTGTAGTTTGGTTGGTCTCGGCTTGCTGCTTGTAGTGAGCTAGGCTTGCAGTTAGCTAGTACTAGAAATAGGTGGAGGTTTAGGGTTGGCTTTGGAAGTGTACTTAGGAGGCAAGGGATGTCTTATTTTAGGTGGTGGACAGCCACCAGTGAGCGAAGGCATGGCTACACTTTACCTAGTCAATCTGGTTGGCATGCGGTGGCTCTCTGGTTAGCGATCGCCTTTGTTGCCAACTTTTGCTTCTTTGGGCGAGTTCTGGCACCATTGGACTTTCGACAAGAGAAAATGTATCTTATTAATTATGAAATAAGTGTCAAGTAGATCAATGAACTGCATGAGAAGAATATTATTGAAATGGACAAACCATAAACTTGTCAATTGCCTAGTAATGCATCTCACCTCATCGAGAATCATCGGTGTGAGATTGGTTATCAATATCAGATGATGGATCATAATCATTGTCGAATCACGATTGTCGGATAGTAGTTTCTTCCCTTTGCCCTCAAGGCTGTTTTGGCATAGAACCTCTAATCTCTTCTTACATTAAGATTGAATACCCAAAGATTTAAAAACATCCTAAATTTCCTTAACATTCTTGTCCCTGTCCCGCTCATACTTGGTTTTGGTCATTTTCTTCTATTACTTATTACATGCAAACGCATAGAATGAGCGGCTGAGTCGGGTTTCGAAAAGAATTTGAAGAAAAACTAACACATCAGATAGTGAAATTGTAAAGAAAAAAAAACAGAATAAAATGAACAAAATGGGTTCCTCGGGCGATGGCGGAGGTACCACCGGCGTTAGTGTAGTGGCGGTGCCGCTCGTCCCTCGCCGGTGGCAGTGCGCAGTAGTAGGTTTAGGGTTTTGGGATGGTGTGGTGGCCGATTTAGGGGAGGGAGGAGGCAGCCATGGTTTAGGGGAGGGAGGAGGAAGCCAGGGTTTAGGGGAGGGAGGAGGAGGCCATGGTCTGCGGTGTGAGGGTGCGGAGGCGGGCGGTTTGGTGGCGGCGGGCTCTATGGAGGCAGGGCGGCGGCGGGGACGTAGATTCGAGATTGCTGACCGGGCAAGAGGATAAGGCGAGGAGGTTTTGGATGGCTTGAGCAGGAGGCGGGGAGGGGCCCATGTGTCGGCGAGCAGGAGAGCGCGGGTGCGGCAGTGAAAAATTGGGCTAACGCATGGGCCCGATTTGTCGATGACACGTGGTGGGCTGGCCTAGATGTTCATCAGCTCCCACCATTTGTTCAAACGTTTTGTTTTTTAAATCTATGGCAAAATCTTGTAACAAGTTTTCCTCCTACATACTATTTCCAAATCAGACATTTTTTTCCTAAAAATTTCTAAAATCATGATCTATCAATATGGTGAGTTGTTTTCGGCCATATTTTCATGGTGCAAACTTTGATCAAAGGAAGAAGTTCAACTTTTAAAAATTGCAACTTCAAACCAAAATTTGAAACTCCAAATCACTTCATCCACAAAAGTCATGAATACAAGAGTTGAACAACTCATCAAGACCAACAATTCTTATTTTGGTCATTTGTCCATCCGACAATCTGATAGTAAAGTAGTTCATAAATTCTACAATCTAAGTTAGAGTTTCGTGAACTAGAAGTGAGACATGTAATTTTTATGAACTACTTTACTATCACTTTGTCGGATGACCAA